TAGGGACAATTTAGAGTTACCAATCAGCCTAACATGCATGTTTTTGGTCTGTGGGAGGAAACCGGAGCACCCGGAGAAAACCCGCGCATGCACGGAGAGAACATGCAAACTCCACCCAGAAGGCCCCTGGACCGGGGTTTGAACCAGGGACCTGCTCGCTGAGAGGCAGCAGCTCTACCAGTTGCGCCACCGTGCTACCTCCTCACGAGCAGTAACTTTTAAATCTAATTCATAATCCTACCTTACTGCCTTCCCTGCCTGCTTTAAATCCATGTATTTTCCATTTTAGTATAGATTTTTACAGTAAACATGTATTAAAAATATCTTCACTTTTATTATTTACAGATATGCACAAGGTTCATGTTAAAATTGCAAAACATCACACTGTGCTGTAATCTTTGAAACTGCTTTTACAACAAGCTACAGACTTGAAAACAATTAGATTAAATTTTGTCCTTAAATTTTAAAGGTTTGTCTTTGATTAAATTTAAAAACATAAATGTATTACTTATTAATCTAAAAAAGTTAAATCTGGTCCTCTGGACATTCTAAAAGCAAAACAATCAAAAAACAGTTATTGTTTATATGTTTATTTATTGTAAAAATTGTTTGTTTTATTTTTTTTGAATGTCCAGAGGACCAGACTTAACTTTTTTAGAATTTTCTACCAGGATTATTGAGCATGCATCAGGATATTACTTATTAAATAGTCAGCTGGTCTGCAAATGCCTTGGGGTCCTCTTAGAAGAGTTGAAGAGGTGGCTGTTGATATCTGTGCCGCCCTGGTAAAGCTGCTGCCCCCGTGACCCAGAAGCAGAAGATAATGGATGGATGATGGATGGATGGATAATGGCCCTGGTAAAGCTGCTCCCCCCATGACCCGGAAGCAGAAGATAATGGATGGATGGATGGATGGATGGCAAAGGAGATCATCAAACACAGCAGGAGTGGTCAGTTCAGTTGAACACCTGCCTGTTTGCATCAGATCAGCTGTTCAAATCTCTTCAGGCTCAAATAAAAGTTGTACCAGGGCTTTCAGCTGAATCTCTCGGGCCACAGTTGTATGGCCGATAACTGATAACTGTCCTTTCTGAATTTTTGACTGTTTTTGTCTCACTTCATCCTAGAAACAAAAAAATTATAATATAATAACAGTTGAGCAGATCCTGGTAATCTTTTCTTAGGATTCATTAAAGATCAAATGCAATTGGAAATTTTTCTCAACTTCCAGTATGAATTTAAACAAACACTATACGCACTATCATTGTAAAATTTGTTTAGGAAATTTAATGTTCAAGGACACCACTTAAGAAAAAAAATTGTTTAATAGGAAAAGTAACAAGGGAAAAATGTACAAAAATAAAAAATACTGCATCCAACTAATGATTGTCTATCTGTCTATCCCTTTCCTCATGGGCTTCATCCAGAAGAAGATGCAAGTGTTGCTCCCACTGTGTCCAGTTCAGTTCTTCATGTTCATTCAGTGACTAAATAAGACTTTTCTTTACTGGACTCTTCTCTTTCTCTTGCCTAGAAAGAAGAAAAAGGTGGTTAATTCAAGCTACACACTGTTTTTGAATAAATGCACAAAACAAAGAAAGGTGCAGCTAACAGCTATAATAGCTATATTAATAATAATAAACTGATAAAATAAGAAAATGAAAAATAAACTGATTTAAAAATAATGAAAATAATATAACAATAACAATGGATATATGAATCAGAAAGTATTATACAGATACAGATATTCTTTGTCATTCGCACCACGTGGTGGATCAAAATTATGTACACATGGTCCCAATTACATCCAACAATAAAATGTAAAAGAAAAACAGTAATAAGATCTAAGATATGAATAAAAAAAAAATCAACTAAAAATATGCTAAGCACTAATAGCATAAAAACAATAAACACAATACGCCGAGCATGGACATGAGTCTGTGTGAACAGATGAGCACAAATGAACACAGCAACATGAAACAGATCAGCAGCAACATGAAACAGATCAGCAGCAACATTATGTGATTTTTCACAGTGATTATCCTGGTTAAATATTCATAAGGCTGCACAAACTCAAGTTCGTGTTGCTGTTTGACGTATTGTTTTGATTGTTTAATGCTATTAGTGCTTAGTGTATTTTTAGTAGATGTTTTTTAGTTTATATTTTTCTTAGTTCATATCTTAGATCTTATTACTGTTTTTCTTTTTCATTTTATTGTTTTCTCTAACTGGGACCCTGTGTACATAATTTCATCCCACCACATGTTCAACATGTGGTGTGTATTGAGTATTTATTTAACATTTAATTTTTTACTTAAAAAAAAAAAAAAAAAACAAGTCCTTATTGGCATGAATAAAGTGATGTGGAACATGTTGCATCTGTTCTTACCAAGCACAGAAGGCTGCAGCGTTGTGCTGCTCTGTGAGGTGCAGGTGGGCTGCAAGCCTGCGATGGAGATCTGTCAGGTGTAGACTCTGGTGATGGAACAGGGGCAGAAACTGGGAGGCTTGGAGGGTTTATTGTGGAGTTTAGAGATGAACTGTCACAGGCTGAAATACGTTCAGGATAAAATACAGTGAGAAATGGGAACAGAGGACAGTTAGCATTTATGCAAATTAGCCTAGCATCATAGTGCCGATGTTGTCCTATTATGGCGTCAGCCTCTTTTGTTTGTTAAAAATATGTTCAGAACCGATGGGATGAGTAACTTAAAATATGTTTAAAGTTAGAAAACACTCACCATCTTCTATAATTGATTCAAGTAGAGTAGTGGCTGTGTCAAAACCACCCTCCAATCGCTCCATCTCCATTCAATTCAATTCAAAAATACTTTATTAATCCCAGAGGGAAATTATATGTTGTGGTAACTCATCATCCTGGTTTCAAAAAAGAGTTGTCATAGACGCTGATGGCTGTGAGCAGGACGGATTATAGTTTTTTTTTTATATATCTTCAAAATACGTACAAGATACGCTCCTCGAGTTATCACTAATGGCGGGCGGTAGAGAAAAATGGCAGATCAGGTTGTTTAGAAAGACTCTAGAGACACCCCCCCCCCCCCCGACCAATCAGTGACCGACAGTGTTTCTGACATCACGGCTCGGGTCGCTTGGACCCCTTGAGAAGCCGAGCCAGAATTCTGGGAGGTGAGCCAGTCCCAAGTACTATGGAAAAGACCTCAAACACGGGTCGAGCCGGAAATATTTGACCCACGCCGTGACAGTGGAAAAGGGGCATAATTGACCAATCTTGTACAGATGCAACTCTGACAGAAGGGGTTGCGATATATTAGCATAAGCTATTGTAGCTGTTGGAACTACTAGATGTTACTATTATTGGATGTATGCACTGAAGCAGATCATCACTTTAATTTTGTTTTTGTGTATTGACATCAATTTAATGAGATTTGGCATGATTTTCCTGACCATTGCAGGCTGTTATCCTTGAATCTTAAATTAAAACAAACATCTTTCTTAACTTTACTTTTGTGTTTCAGATACATGAAATATTTGAATGCCACGCATGCGACAAAAAATTCATCTCTACCAATCAGCTGAAACGCCATATGATCACACACTCCGGTTAGAAAATACCACAACAAATAACTGGCTTCTTGATACTTAACCTCAGTCTGGAATTATGTATTTTCTCAATCTGTCACTTATCAGAGAAGAGACCTTACACCTGTGAGATCTGCAGTCGATCATTCAAACGCTTGGACCAGGTGACAGCTCATAAGATCATCCACAGTGAGGATAAACCGTACAAATGTAAGCTGTGTGGGAAAGAGTTTGCTCACCGCAACGTCTACAAGAATCACAAGAAGGTGAGAAAAAGTAGAATCTAAATGATTTTGTGAACAAAAAGAGATAAAAATAGTAATTATGTAAGTTTTTTTTGTTTCTGAAAACGTGTCCTGTCTCTTTAAAGCTGGTTATTAGTTGGATTGTAAGAAATCAGGGTCTCATTGGTGACTGTTATCTGTGAGTTCAAAAATGTTCATTACAAAAACAACTGGACTTTATTTGTGACAAGACGTTTCGCTTCTCATCCGAGGAGCTTTCTCAATTCAAAGAGCAGTGAGTGAGGGGTTCAGGTTATAAGGCTGAGTGAGATAAGATACACATACATATGTAGATTTGACAATTCACACCTCAACATCTTAACAATAGGAGTTTCTTAAGGTCTTTGTTACTCTAATTCACAGATGAGGCCCCTCTGTTCCCATCAGGTGTGAAAACTGGCTGGGAATCAGTCTTAAAGTTGCATTATAGGTTTTTGAAAGTGGAAATCTGAGGCCTCCTCCTCTGTTAAGAGATGGTTTTTCTCTTTTAACATAATTGCTTCCTTCACCCCCCTCTCAAACCATCTGTGTTCTCGGTCCAAAATGTGCACATTTTGGTCCTCAAAAGAGTGTCCCTTATCTGTGAGGTGGAGGTGAACAGCTGAGTCTTGTCCTGTGGAGCTGGTTCTCCTGTGTTGAGCCATGCTTCTGTGAAGAGGCTGTTTAGTTTCTCCAATGTAGAGGTCTGGACAGTCCTCGCTGCACTGGACCGCATACACTACACCACTCTGTTTGTGTATGGGTGTTTTGTCCTTAGAGTGGACCAGCCTCTGTCTGAGAGTCCTGCTGGGTTTGAAATGTACTGGGATGTTGTGTTTGTTGAAAATCCTTCTGAATTTCTCTGATACTCCAGCAACATAAGGGATGACAATGTTTTTACCTCTGTTGTTCTCCTTTTTCTGTTTATTAGTGTGTTTTGTAGATTTCCTTGCTAACTTGACAAAAGCCCAGTTAGGATATCCACATGTTTGGAGAGCTTCTTGGATGTGTTTCTGTTCCTTTTCCTTCCCTTCTGTCTTCTTGGGGATGCGTTCGGCCCGATGCTGTAAAGTTCTGATGACAGAGAGTTTGTGTTCCAGTGGATGGTGGGAGTCAAACAGAAGATACTGGTCTGTGTGGGTTGGTTTTCTGTAAACTTCAATGATGAGGCTGTCCTCTCTTTCCATCTGAACCAAACAGTCCAAAAAGTTCAGATCATCTTCACCAGCATGTTATCTGTGGGGTCCCTTGCTTTTTCCAGCCCCCCCCAGGGTTCGTCATGTTTACTTTGGGGTTTATGGTGTCATTCAGATAGATAGGCAGGTGTTGTTGCTGGAAGGGTGTAGGGAGGGTCAAACAAACATGAGCATTTTGAACTTAAATCCCCTTAAACTGCTCATCTTCATCAAGCTAGCAAAGCAAATTAGCTAGTACTTCTATTAAGCACGAACTACTCATATGAAATCTTTGAGCCTCCTAGAATGAATAAATAAACATACTGATGCTACTCAACTCTTCTTTGCAGACTCACTCAGAGGAAAGGCCTTTTCAGTGTGAGGAGTGCAAGGCACTGTTCCGCACCCCCTTTTCACTACAACGCCATCTACTCATCCACAACAGTAAGTATGAGGGCCATTAGGCACTTTCACAAAACAATTTGTCTAGATTTAGATACCTTTTGGCTGCCTCAGTGTGATTTATGAATGGGCTGAGGTAGTGGGGGGAGGGAAGAAGCCAGCCCACACTTGATGTCCTATATGCTGTAAAGAGGTGTGGAATTTGCCCTGTGTAAAGCAGCGTTGCCAAGTATGCTTATTATAAGTGACTTTGGGCTTACTTTTTTCAAAAGTCACTTGCAAATCCTTTGAGTTGTGGGTTGCAGTTTTTTGAGCTTGTTTTGAATGTGAAGTTGCTTATTTGGGCTTGACTTTCTTTCCGAGTGAAATTAGTTGATTATCTCCCAGCTCTGCACAATAAAGCAAAAGACGAGCGGTAGTAGGTAGTTTGTCTCTTCCACGCCCCCGTTTCCTGTTTATCGCTCCTGTCCAAGTTGGCGAGGCGATAAGCGCACACCCAAACAAACACTCATACTGTGGCTGACCACTAGGGGGCTCCACTCACAAGCAGTTATCAGGTTGTCTTGTGGCTATGGCTGAGTGATTAGAATGTAAGAGTTGGGGGTTCAAATCCACCAGCAGTCACATGCCAAAGTGCCCCTGGGCAAGACACCGAACCCCTCAATGCCTCCGATCTGTGTCCCATCGGTGTATGAATGTGCTCTAAAGCACTGATTATTCTCTTTAGAAAGATTTGTTCAATTAACTTTGTAGAGATCTAGTAGAGTGCTGTATGAATGGGTAAATGAGGCACAGATTGTGTTGTATAGTGCTTTGAGTATCTTGATAAGATAGAAAGGCGCTATATAAGTACAGTCCATTTACTATTTACTATTTTTAAAAATATGTAGAAAAAATATGATTTGACATATTTGTTACATATGCAAAATGTTTTTTTTTTTTTTATCAGAGCTTAAAAGTATGTTATTCAAAGTGTTTAGCATAATTTTGCTCTTGTTTATGTGTAATGTACGGTGGCCCTAAGGTGTAAATGAACAACATTTGTAAAAACGGAATTACATTTGTAAAAACACAACAAAAATAACAAAATCACAACAACATTAGAAAAAAACAGAATTACATTTGAAAAAACAGAATTACATTAAGCCAAAGCGAAAGTGGCCGGAATCACATTAGAAAAAACAGAATTACATTTGAAAAAACAGAATTACATTTGAAAAAACAGAATTACATTTGAAAAAACAGAATCACATTAGAAAAAAACAGAATGACATTAGAAAAAACTGAATTACATTAAGCCAAATAGGAAGGTTTTTTTTTTTACTTTATTAACAGCATAAAACCAAACCACATAACAATATACAGTACATCCTGATGCATGCTCAATAATCCAGGTAGAACAATCTAAAAAAGTTAAGTCAGGTCCTCTGGAGGCCTACGTGTTCAACTGTGTCCCCCTCTTACAATGCTGTTATTGCTAGTATCACTCAGCCCCCTGTGGATAGCAAACAGCCATCAGGGTGCTAACGATCCATTGTTAGGCTAATGGTCCTCCTTGATTATGTGAACAACTAGTTTTGAATGTCAACAACAAACTGGTTGACCCACTATGAGAAGGTGATATTTATAAGACTGAGCTGAATACAGCTCGTCAGACTGAAGAAGACTTTCAGATGAAAGATGAAACGTTTCTACGATTTTATTTATTTTTTGTTGTTGTTTTTTGAACATCCAGAGGACCTGACAACTTTTTTAGAATATACAGTACACACATCTCTGTTGTGTGTACTGTATATTGTTCGGTTTTATGTTGTTAATACAGTTAAAAAAAAATAAACTTCCCGTTTGGCTTGTAATTCTGTTTTTTAAAATGTCTTTTTTTTTTTCAAATGTAATTCTGTTTTTTTCTAATGTGATTCGGGCCACTTCCGCATTGGCCACTTCCGCTTCAGCTTAATGTAACTCTGTTTTTTCAAATGTAATTCTGTTTTTTCTAATGTGTTTCTGTTTTTTCAAATGTAATTCGTTTTTTTCTAATGTGATTCGGGCCACTTCCGCTTTGGCTTAATGTAATTCCATTTTTTCAAATGTAATTCTGTTTTTTCTAATGTGATTCTGGCCACTTCTGCTTTGGCTTAATGAAATTCTGTTTTTTCAAATGTTGTGATTTTGTTGATTTTATTTTCCATTTTTCAAATGTAATACCGTTTTTTCAAATGTTATTCATTTACACCTTAAGCCCCCAGTATACTGCTGCGTACGTCCATACGCAGAGGTACGCACGTACGTACGCAGAGGTACGAGCGTAACCCTCAGGGCATGTCCGTGCAACGCTCAATTTTTACGACCGCGTACGCGGTGTCGCACAATAAACTGCCCAGCGACAGACTGTTTTGTATGCGACACCAATGTATTAAATTCCCCTTCATCTCTAATCTGGCTTTTTCTTTTGTTTTTGCCAAGAGGCAAGTGATCTCTTCCTCCTCCGTTGATGCAATGACTGAAATGGTAAGAAATGAAGGAATTTGTCAAGCGAATTTAACTCAGGTCCAGCGTGGCTGCGGGAGGGTCTGGAGATTTCCTGGTGTGTTGGTCTGATGTGTGGGTTGCGCAAAGTCAGTGCTCCCTGTTTTTTTTTTTTTGTCGTTTTTTTTAGATCTTTTTATTAACAACATATAAACGCAGAACACCGCTGTGGCTGAGGCTGCCAGCGCTCTTTTTTTTTTTTTTTGACTTGTCAATCAATTCGGTAGGCATGTCAGCAAATGACCAATCGGCGACCTCAATTTGTCCCGAAGGTGGGCGTTTACCTTCGGGACATCTGGCAACACTGGTGTAAAGGTAAGCCAGCTTTAGGACTCAGTAATGTGATGAAGTGACATGATCTGTGTGATCACCAGGTCGCCAGTTTAAACAACACTACAACAAAAAGATTAAATGCCAATGGAAGACTGATGCACAGCAACTTTGCATTTATCGTAATTTCCGGACCATTGAGCGCACCTGAATATAAGTAGCGCCCACTAAATAAAAATAATAATTTTGTACATATATTGGCCATGCTTGTCTATAAGCCAAGGGTGTACATATTGTAACATGAGAAATTTACACAGATTTTTTTTTTTTTTTTTTTTTTTTTATTAAATGCATACTGGTAACATACACAAATACAGTAGTCCCTTGCTACTTTGCGGTTCGTTTTTGTGGACTCGCTCCATCACGGTTTTTCAAAGTAAGTGTGAGGGACCAGACTTAAATAAGGACAAAGGTGTTCAAAAATCAGCAAAAATTTCTATTTAATAGCTCCAAAATAGTTAAAGATTCAAATTTCAATGAAAAAATATATCAAAAGAAACAAATTTGGGGCCAACTTAAATGAGGTCAACTGAACACTAACCAAACTGACCTGTTAAACAAAGAACAAAGGGCTGCTTAAATAGGGGCGGAGTAATCCAAATCTGCCACATGAGGGAGGCACAACAACATAAGGGACAAAAAAATGCAAAATTACCTAAAACAGCATCTGAAACAAATAAAACAAAACTAACTAACTTAGCACAAATAAGTGAACACTAAAGTGACAAATTAACCAACTAAAGCCAAATTAACCAACTAAAGCCAAATTTAACAAATAAAGCCAAATTTAACAAATAGAAGTTTCCCCTTCCCTCAGTCTTAGAAAAAGTGGTATGTTCCAGGCTTCCGCCTCCAGCTGATCTGCATTTGCAGCACCTCAAAACAAAGAACAAGTGTTAGTAAACCATTCAGACAAATATTAACTAAAGTGTGTACCCATTAAATAAATACTAACACGATGTGGTGGTAGTAGAAGCATCCACCACACACTCCACCCCTCCTCTGAAGGCTCGCTGGCACAGCAGGACAAGTAGCCAGCGGTAGCATTCTGCCAGCCAGGGATGTGATGCACCGCAAACTTGTAGGGTTGCATGGCCAGGTACCAGCGGGTTATTTGACCATTTGTGTCTTTCATTCTCTCCAGCCATTTTAAAGCTTTATGGTCAGTTTCTAATACAAACTTCCTTCCCAGGAGGTAATGGCGTAAGGAATCCAGAGCCCACTTAATTGCCAGGCATTTTTTTTTTTTTTTTTTTTTTTTTTTTTATAGTGGAATAATGGGTTTCTCTGGGGAAAAGTTTACGGCGGATGAAGATGATTGGATGGCGATCATTTGGAGAACCCTGAAGCAACACAGCACCCAGACCTTTATCTGATGCATCAGTTTGCAAAACAAACTCCTGCTGGAAGTCAGGGCAGTGAAGCACAGGATCTTCACTTAAGGCCTGCTGAATGTCTCTGAATGCTTCTTTAGCTTCTTCAGACCACAGTAGTACATTTGGGCCCCGAAGACTGGTCATGTCTGTAAGCAGAGAAGCTCTGGCAGAGTAATTAGGGATAAATCTGTGGCACCAACCAGACATACCTAGGAAGGATTTAAGTTGTTTTCTTGTCTGGGGAAAAGGGCAAGATTGGATGTCCTCAATCTTTTCAATTTGTGGCTTCACCAATCCTCCTCTGATGACAAAGCCCAGGTACTCCGCTTTCCTTTTTGTTATGGCACACTTGGCTGGATTCACAATTGCGCCGCTCAAGGTGGCTGCATGTTGGAGGAGCTCTGTTACTTTCATTCTGAGATTTTGCTTTTGGAAACTTTAATTCCTCTTTTTCTGGATGTTAATCACATTTTTTGGATGATTGTTTCCTCTGGTATCGGATGCTGTGCAGCTGGAAGGATTTTTACTGAAACTTTTTTAGTTTTGGACATTTGTTATGATGCGTAACCATGGCAACAAGGCAGTTTCTACAACCAACAGCAGCTGATTAATATCTCAAAGCTCAAGTAAAATCTCAACTACAGCCCTAAATTTGAAATGAGTTGAAAAGGATGTTCTGTGGACGCGTTTTCATCTACCTGCCAGCTGTGCTCGAGTGCCTGACCACTGAGATCCTGGAACTAGCAGGAAAGACAGCTCATGATAGCGGAAGGACAGGATCATCCATCAGCACCTACAGTTGGCTGTCCG